ATAACAATAAATTAGTAATTTAAAAAATATTACGTTTTCACAAAAAGAATTATTCATTATTTACTACAAACTTACCGATAACTCCCTCAGCATGGACTTCTTCAACTCCTTAGGGACCTTTTTCCAAGACTCAAACTCGTCAGAACATTCCCTCCACACCAAACTCCTAATGTCATACCTAAATTCGACGTATGCATTAGCCATACTTTTGTCTTCAAAGTACGGCACTTGTTTCCGTCGATACCTCTTTGATCGCACTATAAGTTTCTTTTTGACAGAACCTTCTCCAAAATCGACCATTCTTTTGAAACAAATTGTTTTTGAAAACTAGGGTTCTGAAACTGTATTTATATAGCACTAGGATCCCTTTGCGCGATAAAGATATTCGTCGGGCAAAACGCGTCATAAATGCACAATAAATGGGAAGGTTTGAACGCAATTTAACTGTACTTTGCACGACAACAGCTGTTGTTCATCGCGCAAAGTTGTCTTGAGCAACGAAAATGGCGTCGTGCAATATATGTCGCAACGAACAGAATGATTGTAATTATATTTATTCTAAAAATCATTAATACCTTAATCCATTCATTTATTTTAAAAAACAAATAGGAATTGAATCCTAATTAAGTCCAAATACATAACTTATAAAAAAAGAACCTTTAATTTAAATATTTTCCTCAAAAACATAAATTTAAAACTACTATTTCGATGGTCCTCCATTCCACTCGACTTCATAACGCCATCGATTGTAACTTCCCTCCAACGCATCCTCCATCAACTTCATCAACTGTTCATTCGTATCATCATCAAGAGTATACTTACACTGTTACACATATATGCAAATAATTAATTCCAACATATAACAAAAAATTTCACAAAATTAATTATTGATTCATCAACATTATACTTACTAATAATTCATCCATCACCGCCTTCTTCGCATTCTCGGGCACATATTTCCAAGAACACCACTCAGCAATAGGACAATTATTCTGCATGGCTACAGCAATCGCATGCACGAACTCAAAATGTTGCCTCAAATCATTTGGTCGGCAGTAGGCATGCTCTGAGCCTTGTTTTTATCCTCCATCCCAGAACAAACAGAATTGTGAAGAATAAGGACAGCAGAAGAGCATATATATAGGAAGGTTAGGGCCTTTGCGTGAAGAAGGCTTTATTGCACAAACATTTGTAATAAATGCTGTATTGATTCCTCTAATTCACCTGCAATGAATGGTCTGAGTGAAAACAGACAGGAACTTGCACAACGAAACCTTTGTTGCACAAAGGTCCCCTTTTCATTGCGCAATGCTTTCATGCCAAAATAAATTACCCTGTGTTTTCTTGATGACTTTGCACGACGACAACTATTGTTAGTCGAGCGAAGTATTCTTGCACGACGAAGGTTTTCATCTTCGTAGCACAAAAAAAAAAATTCCTTTCCTGTCTTTTTTGTGCGACGACACTGTTTTTTCAGTTGTGAGACGAAATATCCTTCGTCGCGCAAACTATTTTTTTTACTAGTGCCATTTTTAATACAAAATAATATCAAAGCATGGACATATAATATGAAATTATAAATTAACTTGGTTATTGTTTTTTGATCAATTGGTGGATCTTCTAACATGCAGGGACAAATAGTTAGTTGATTTAATTACACATTATAATACTTTTGATTAACATGAATCTGATTAGGCATGAGAAAATATTCAAGTAATAATGCACATAGTTATATTATATATTGTGTGAATGGTTGGATAATATTATGATTTTTTGTTGCTCTACATCAAAAGGACTCTGGTTGGATAATATTATGATTTTTTGTTGCTCTACATCAAAAGGACTTTAGTTAGTGGAAATAGTAATATTGCTTAGTCTTTATACATTTGGGAAAAGCGTATGATAGGGTCCCAAGAGAAATCTTTGGAGGATTCTAAAAAATTAAGAGAGGAGTACGAGTAGCATATATCCAAGCAATAATTGATATTATGATGAAGCAAGGACTGCAGTACAAACTTATGAAGGATAAACTAAAAACTTTCCTATAACCATGTGGTTACACCAAGGTTCAGCTTTAAATCCTTACCTTTTGTATTGGTAACGGATGAGTTAATGGGACATATGATGTCCCTTGATGTATGCTTTTTGGAGAGGATCTAGTGTTGATAGATAAAACGCAAGAAAGAGTAGCGAAGCTTAACCTTTGCCGGGAATTGTTAGAATCTAAAGGTCTTCGCCTAAGTAGGTCAAAGACAGAGTATATAGAATGCAACTTCAATAGGAATGGGAATCCAAATGAGATAGGAGTGAGAATGGAGATCAGGAAATACCAAAGGGTGAGCGATTTCATTATCTTGGATCTATCTTGCAAAAGAATAAAGAATTGGATGGAGATCTCAATCATAGAATACAAACTGGATAGATGAAGTGGAAGAGTGCATCGGGTATGTTGTGTGACCGATGTATGTCATTAAAGCTCAAGGGAAAATTTTATAGGATGACAATAAAACCAACAATTCTTTATGCACAAAATGTTAGGTGGTCAAGCATCAACACGTGGAAAAAATGAGTGTAGCGGAGATGAGAATGCTTCGTTGGATGTGTGAGCACACGAGAAAGGACATGATTAAAAATGAGGATATCCGAAGTAAAGTATGAGTAGCCGCAATTGAAGATAAGATGAGAGAAAATCGGTTAAGGTGGTTTGGATATGTGAACTTAAGACTTTAGATGCTTCGGTTAGAATATACGATTATGAGACAGAGGCTCAAGGAAAAAGGGGTAGAGGAAGACCTAGGAAGACTCATAAAGAGACTAAGACTTGGAGTACTTAAAGTTATCGAAAAAAACGTTTTATGATTCATATAGCTGACCCCATTTAAAAATGAGGCTTGGTTGTTGTTGATGCTGCTAGTTACTAGCATTAACATGTGGATACTTGACACTCATTTTATAAGGTGAATAGGGTAGTTTGATTTAAGGAATATGAGTTAAAATATATTGAATTTCTAACTTCTCTTTTTTATCAAATGATGAGATTGGCCTTCATGATTCAGACGCAAGGGCATATAGTCACAAAGACCTAAGAGAGTTCATCAACAACATTAATTCATTTGACTACAAGATTTTCTTCCAGCTCCAGCCACAAAGGGTATACAAGTTTATAGAAAATGAAAACCAAAAACTACTTTAAGTTGTTTTCGTTTTCAAGATTTGTTCATTCATTTTTTTTCTTTCTATTTCTTACTCTCTCTCTCCCACCATCATTCTTCAAGTGTCATTTCTCATATATACTTTTTCATATCTCAAACACAAAAAATTAAAATTAAAAACTAAATGTATATGACACAATCAATTAAACAAAATTGACATGGCTTGAACAAACCATTAATTGATTATGACACCTAAATGTAGAAACCACATTAAAACATACTTAAAGAAGTGGATAGAAATAGTCCAACACAGTAACCACGCAACTTACCTAAACTTTAAGGAATGAAGTACAAAGTTAGGTCACAATCATTTGTTAAAACTTAGGTCTCTTAATTATACATACAATTCATTGTACTAAAAAAAAAAAATATATATATATATACACACACACACACATACAATTCATAATTATTTGGGTTTGCTTGTCTCAAAAGTACATGACTTGTAAATTCATAACAGGAAATATAATTAGAGATGCCCAATGGACGGAGAAAAAAAATGTATGGAGAGAGCTTGCTAGGTTATATATTTTCAAATTTCTACATTGTTTGAGTTTAGGATTCATACAACCAAGTGCAATGACGTTCTAGAGTTCATACATCTCACTCCACTTAGTGAGATAATGCTTTATTGTCATTGTTTGTACCTTGGTTGAGTTGAGTTTGACATGAACTTTCCACAGCCATAGAACCTGAATTTGGCAGTTGGTAAGTTAACGACGATCACATGAATAATGTTCCCTACATTTACTTCAATCGCCATAAAATTGGTCCACATCTTTAAATTAAGATGTCGACATAAGAGACCAATCTCCAACCATCTTTTCCCCTTTCATTTCATTTTTACCACATTTTTAATTGTCATAAAAGTGAAGTCATTGTTTCAAATACTACTACATTCATTGTGTGCAAAACTTGTGATCTATAGAATTCAAAAAGGCTATGAGATTAGTAAATATGACATTGTAAAGACATTTAGGTGTTATTCGTTTGGAAGTTATTTTAGAATGACTGAAAGCGTTTTTTGTGAAAATAATTTTGGAACTAATTATTAATAAAAATGCAAGTAAATCTTGAAAAGGCACTTGAAGTGCTTTTGGAACTCATTTTCTTAAAAGCAATTTCAATCATTTTAAAAAACATTTCCAAACGAGTTGTTTCTAATTTGAGGCGTTCTGCTGATTTATGGGTTCTAGACTGGGCATTGATATTACGCGCTGGAGATGCTCACCGTTTTCGGTTTCTAGTGAGCCTACTATAGTGTTGAATTTTCCTTACTGTTTCTGCCATGGTTTTATTTTCGTGGTTCATTCTGTATTTGACAAGAACCGTCAATTATTTGGGGTTTTTGTGCTCATCCAAATTCATTATATTTGGCCCCTGCATGTTTTAATGAAATTTCCTCTTTGTTCTTCTTAAAAAACACACATTTTGGCTTCTTAAAAGTGGGATAGGAAAAGCACTATGTCCAAATAGAAGCACGGCATTTTTCTATCCCACGATTAATTATTTTCAGAGTTTTCATTTCTCGCATGATTTTACAGCATTAGACGCATTAGTTTCTATAAATCTTCCTTTTTTTTAGTCTCACAATATTTGTGATTTTTTTTTTTTTTTTTTTTTTTTGTAATCTCATATTTGTATTTGCAAGTATCCTCTTCTTAGGTCATATTCTTCATCTGATTATAATATTTTTCCCCTTTTATAAATGAAATATGTTGTACCCTTTGTAAGAAAATAAACTAATCGGGTACAGCACACTCGTTATTAAAGGAACAACGACAAAAATGAGACATTAAAGACGTTCGTGAACTTAAAACACAGAAACTCAATTTCGAGGCTAAAGTAAATAATTCAGTAACTATTGCTCTAATTCACTCTCCTCTACATTATTGCTTCAAGCCTTTGTCAAAACTCTCATTTTCTTGGAATCCAACATGGGCAACTTGACTTTTTTTCCCTTGGTGTTTGCAAGTGTGTCAAAACGGTAGAGTGTACTTGTTTGAGAAAACCAAAATGTAGATGAGAGAAGTTTTAAGTCCATGCACTTTAGTCGGCCATACACTTGGCTTAATTGATCATAACCAAGTCCTCTTCTCTGGCACTCCAAAGTGGTCCTCCTAATAAAGCATGTACTCTCCTATTCCTTTGTCTTGTCTTGTATCTGGTGATACATGTTTTGCTTCCCAAATACACATAACACAAACAAAATATCAAACTTTTGAATCAAATAAAAATATACAGCTTTAACTAGTTATAGAAACTATGTCATAAATTGGTTTACCTATAGTAGCACTTGTGTTTGAGGACTGTTATTTGCTTGTTTACTCCAAAAGGGAAGGAACAAATGTAGCCAATTAAACATGCATATTCTCATCTGGCTCTACCTGCCTACCTGAGAAATAATTTAATCAAATGAGGGAGGCAGCTAGGGTAATGGGTTCCTAGGTGGTTATTTTTGTACTTGAATAGGAAACTTTTGATCACAAGTTTTAACCAATACATGATTCCAAAGAGAAAACTTATCACGTAAGTTCATTTCAAAAACTATATGATAGTAATGCTCTTAGGGCATGTTTGGTAGTCTGGTTGGGATAGGTTTGTGACCAATTAAAATGAATTTGAGTCAAACTCATTGTTTGTTGTGTCAAAATGCAAGATTGACAGGACTAAACATGATAAGTTATGAATCTATTATAGAGTGGGTTCGTTACAAGTCCTGTCTTACCTATCCATGCCAAAAACTAAGATTCAATCTCATACAGCCCACCAAACAGACCCTTAGGGTTGGAGGAGTTAGGGCGGGGTAATGTGTTAGGATTAGACTAGGTTGAGGACTTAATTCCTTCTGATGAAACTAGAAAGAGAAAACTCTCGTTATGAAGGTTAATTGATCTTGGGTGGAGGATCCTTAGCCTATAACAGCGTCGTGATCCCTAATCGTCGATTTGTTATTTTCAAGATGGAAAATGTTTTGAAAATCAAACTTATGGAGGGAAATTTGTGGATTCCGCATAGGTTAGGTATTCTCTTGGGAAAAAAACTACCTAGAAGGCATCTTACATGAAACGAATTTACCGCCACGTGGCGTTCTTGTTCTAGCAATGCAAAGTCATGTAAAGAGAAACTCACACATGGCATTGTATAATAGGACCAAGACGCTAGGACATTATCTAGCAAATAATCTAATGCCTAGGCATGTATAATACACATGGCGTGCCCCTTGAGCACAAACTGAACCGATGGGTGTTTGAAAGGCCCATTACTCAACGAGATATTATTTCATACCCATTCACAAAAGTAGCTATTCAGTAGATTACCGGAAAGTAATTTAGAACAACGATAGCACAAGATACTTATCCTTTTTGTAAATGGGTACCTGAAACTAATCACGTAGTACTTTCGAAAAGGAGTTCTGAAAACTTGCACAGCTCTAAGGGCCTCGGTAATTACGGCATTATTCAGTTGCCCCAGTCATTCATACTATGAAAAACTTCAAGCAGCAATGGATGAGTTCCTCTCGCTGAGAATGCGGTAGTAAGTGTCGTGATCTGATGTGTCTCTGAATCCAGGAATGAAATCCGAAAAGAATCTAAGGACCGCAGCTAAATTTTGCAAGTCACTGGAGGTACATGCTGACTCGAGAAACAGCGAAGGTCGAATGGTTCTGACCTGAAAATTCAAATCAATTTAAGAGTCAGGAAAGCGCTTTCGTAAAATAAAGAAAAAATAACATATACAGTCAGGAAAAATTTGGCACATAAGGAAGTATATCAAAGAATTACTAGATAGATATACCGAACCTCAATATTTTGGAAAATAACTAAAAATGTCAATACCTGGAAAAGAAAAAGGAAAAAAACTATACAGAATGGAAAAGGATACAGCAATGACAGTTCAAGAAAACATCTAATGGTCGTAATAAAGGAAATTTTGCGACACCAATCACTAAACACAACATAATAGGTTCAGCAGTCTCAACAGCAAGAGTTTAAGAGCTAGGGAGTGGCGTTCAAACACAGCAAAAATAAAGAGATGTAAAACCAACAGGAAAATGTATTGGCAATCTGATTGAGAATATACAAAAAAATCCTTTCTTTCCTCTGATTCCAAGATGGGAATTACCTTGTACTTCCGTGCATAGCGTAATGCTTCAAGGTAATATCCATCTTGCACTAGTAACAGTACATAGTCATGGTGTAAAGAAAGCTGCCTCAGCATATCTAAACCCAACTTCCTTGTTCGAGAGTTCTGACGGCCAGACTCTAGGAGTTGCATTGCTACTTCTTTAGAAGGTTCAAGAATCTGTTGAGAAACAGTTCTCCCCGTGAACATCAGACCAAAAATAAGCAGCATACTGTCGCAAACATACATTTATAATAGGCTGTTCATATACCTTGTTTAAGACAAACTGCCCAAGTTCTGCATATCGCTCACTGCGTGATAGTAATTGTACGGTCAGGACATTGAGATTAGGATGGACTTCAACCTTTTCAATATTAGCACTGCAAAACAATAGCAAATAAGTATAGAACTGTGATCATTGCCTGATACATTCAAATTTAAAGTATTAAACTTCACACCGATCAAAGGAAACCTAATATTCTGGAGACATTTTTAAATAACGTTCGGGTCTAGGTAGGCTAGCCCCTCAGGCTGAAGTACTGACCAAGCAAATGATAACTTGATATCACCATGTTCACAAAAATCAATGTTTTCAATTAGAGAGCAGGGGAAAAAAGAATAACAAGAGGGGGCAACTATGGTTTCAATATCCAATGATCAAGCCTGCCAAAGAAGTAGTAATAGTGAAATGGTAAGTTTACTTCAAGCTGGAGAGAAAAATAAGTCTTCTTAACCTCATCAATATCCATTAAAAACTTTTTATACGTATTTATAAGATATGTGCCTTTCCAGGCAATTTTACAGTTATACAACATCAACCTGTTTTAGTAAAAACAATCAACCAACTAGTCAAACCCTAGGTGCTTTACTCCTTAAATACGAACTACACATATTAACTGTGTAGTGCAAATACAAAGGGAAAAATTATGCAAATTCATCAAGACCCTTGCTAAAACTGTGCGGTGCAGAGAATAAATATCAGGCTAAAACTCTTCTACCCAAGTCCATCACAACTTTGTGTTCAAGGCCCTCATTATTAAAAGATTCATAAATATGTCATACCTACGAAGAAACTCAACAATGATGGCAACCAAGTACGAAGGTTCTCCAATAATCTCTTCCTCAACAGGAGCGAACACAAAACTGTACATTTCATCAGGTGAAATTACTGGAGAGGTCGGTTGGGATTCTTGCTGCGAAGCATTAGCATCCAATGGGCTGTTGTCGGATCTAAGAACCTGATATTGCAAAGATGAAGACCGAATTTCACCGCCAGAAGTTTCAGCACCCGTTAACTTCCCCCTGTCCATTTTACCATCGAACAATTGAGAGTTATTTGAAGTGGCCTTTGGGGCTTCAAAACTTGTACTATCCTCAGAGTCGGAATTTGAATAGGTTAAAAATCTGTTAGGCGATTCACTGTCCAATCCAGCAGCATATTCAAATTTAATGGACTTCCCAACTGTGTCTACTCTTCTAGAGGATACATCAGCACTAGATCTAGGGCCACTCGTCTGTGGCTCACCAGAAGGCGATGTTTTTGCAGATTTTATTCCCTTAAGATAGGTGCCTGTCTTAATAGAGTGGGAGTAGGAGGAAACTAAAACATCTAATGCCCGAGACACTGTAGACACAGGTCTGCGTTCTAGAATAACAGTGCGTGCTATTGATAAGCACAGTTGTTTAGCCTGAAAAGGAAATGGAACAAAGTTATCGCCAATAGTCATTAAGCAGTTGCCTGAAAAAAAGCAATGAAACACCCCAAGAACATGAAACCACTCAACCAGATGTTACAGACCATAAATATTTATCTTTTTGACTGCTTGCTATATCTTGGATGGTAAAATGGTTTTGACATAATGAGCAACCCAAAATAGCCACTAAAAAAATACAATTGCATGCTGTAAGCAGCTGACATTTACGAAAAGAAAGAAAATCTAGCAAATGACGAGCATGGCAAAACCGAATGAAGAATTCTACCTTATTGGCTTCTAACTTCCGCCGTTGCAAGAATTCAAGTACTGATGGTACTTCTGAGCTACTGGCAGAAATTGCCTAGGAACAAAGAGAAAGACAGGTTATGCAAGAAAAGAACCCTTATACTTTTCTTACTCATAACTGATGGAAGAAGAAAAATCTTATTACTAGATTAAAAAATGGAAATGAATGGAAACTTGCCTCCAAGTCTAAATGAATCTTCCACAAAAGTTGATTAGCAACATCACAGATGAGATCAGGAACAAGAAAAGTCCAATTATCTCCGTAGACGATTGCTTCATGGTCACTTAAAACATTAACTTCTGAACTTTCATTATCTTCCCTATTTGATCTCAGGGAAGAAGAATTAGACCTGGGGAAACCCCTGAATAGTAGAGGAAGTGGGGCTGATATGGGTGCCCGAGAATCTGCAAATATATCATACAGTATAACAACCTTCGCATCAACTTGATGCACAAGCAGTACATTATCAACCACACTCACAGCAACCTTGCTTGAATAAATTGGCAAAGAACCCTGAAAAATATAGGTAAACACCATTTGTGTAGAATAAGTATATATTATGAGTAAATTTGAATAGCGACCACATGAAGCCAAGGTTTACTCACAAATGCACTGAAATTAAACTGATCACATGAAGCCATTATTTACTCATAAATGTACCGACACTCTCTCACAAACATCACCCACCGATAAGATCCAAATTTACCAAGATTTTTTTTTTCATATCCTTTATCTATGCTGATGAATTGAGTACAACCAAACAGTAATACTGACAAGGAAGCCAGCCCCAATTGTACATGTAGCCTCGCGAAGATAACGACTGGAAATAATATAAAGCAGGATTTCTAAGGATTGGCAGTTTACACTCCAGTAATTTAGATATATCACTGGAGTATCACAGAAGTATCAGTGCAATATACATATAACGCCCTTGCATAACATACCTATGTTACATAGCCTGCAACCAATTGGTTGACATTTTGTTTGGTTATCAGAGCATCTCCAATGGGAGATGCAAAATATCTTGAAATGTGTTTTTACATTTATGGTTTACCTGAAAACTCCAATGGAGAGATGTAAAAATATCCATCTTTGCCAGAAAATGTAAATAAAAACCTTTTTTTACATCTTTTGGTTTGGTGGTGGGTCCCGCCAATCAAAGGGAAAAAATTAAATGGGATCTCCCATTTACATCTCCCGTTGGTTTTAGCATCTCAATTTTGCATCTCCCCATTGGAGACGCTCTCATAAAGGGAATTAAACCCTTCATCTAGCTTACTCCTAACCCATTTTCCCACCCACCCTCATCACCAGGGCCAGTTAGTTGACATTTCAAATTAAAGTGGAGCAAAAGATTATAACAGACAGTTTGAACACAAAATTTACCTGTTGTACAACCACATCACGGTAAAACCTGTAAGAGTGGAGGAGCATTGCAATCCTATCAACTTGCAGACAGTATATTCTGCCATAGCTAAACAATGAAAGGCAGTATATAAGCCTTAATTTTGGTTGGCCAATAAAATCTGGCAAAGAGAAAATTAGGATAGGGACCTACACAGTGACTATAAAAATATCTTCAGCAGCAAGGACAGGTTTATTGTTAGCCTCAGATTTAGCCATTGCCATCTCAAACTTTGGCAGACGAATAATGCCTGCAGATGAGAGCTACCCAGAAGAAGTAACACACGTGTCAAGACTAAAATAAGAGAGTGCACTGAATGCCATACAAGCATATATATGAATAACTCTGCTACGAAAGATAATTACAATGGGACTACAAGACAGAAAACTATGTTGTGAAATAACTCTTTTACTTTTCTTTAACAACAAAATGCAAATAAGAAATACTGCCAATACTGCCACATATGTTACAGCAACAATTGTTCATGGAAGTAATTTCCTGATCCATTTTTCTTAATACCAAGACAGCAAACTTAAAGTTCTAAAACAAAAACATTATCAGATTTACATGTACCTGAAAACCATTGAAGGTTTTGCACTGCATTCCTGAAGCAAGAAGAACCATGCGACTTTCATGTGTGTAAACATACCAACTCACATTCAATTTCTTTGTCTCAACCAATTGGAGTGATTTTGACTCAGAATTGTAAGCAAACAAGTCCAGCCCACTGAGATTGAAATCCATGCAAAATGAAAGAAAGGGAAAACCTTGGCATAAGCAAATGTGGTTGAGAAAAATTGCTATTGTAAAGATGATTCCCTAGAAACGGTTCACAAAACATGCTCTATTTCCTCAAAACTCAAGATTTGGTACATACAAGACCCTCCACCTAGAAATCCTTTGCATGAGGCCACAACAAAGACAAAAGTTGCCTTACCATGTAACTCAATGGGCACATTATACATGAAAAGCATGGCATGTTTTTAGTGGGAAAATAGAATTGTATCCAAATAACCAAGAAAGCACCCATTAAATATGGTAATTTAAAAAAAATATATTAAAAACCCTCCAGCAATGATGGTAATCTTTTATGGCTACTATTACTTGATAAATAATGGTACTTGAAATGTAGCACTTTAAGTTCTTCTTGATGACCAGACATCCGTTACCATGTTAAACAAGTGGAGGAAAGATTGGCCATGACAATAACCTGCTCTCTGCTTGCAGCACTACAATCCTTCACACCTCCAAGCTATCAAAGGCCATTACCCTGTGTTGGTCCTACTTAACACAGGATCCTACGAGAAGAGGTCCAGATATTATCCTACCCTTCAACATTTTTGCATGAAGTCACCCTCAATAAATTATAAATTTAGAAATAGAAGGTTTGTATATATCTTTTTGTTACTGCACCACAAAAGAGGTACATTTTGGCAACATAACCCAATTTGTTTTGTCTTTCCTGTGTTCTTAACAAACAGAAGTGTATCCCTGGACCACAAAAAATAAGTGGCCTTTAACTAGTTTACTTGTCCTCCAAAGTGGGAAAAGTATAAAGGCATACCCATCTTCATGAAAAAAAATTCTTGACAGAAGTAGAACCATGAATGACCATCCAGTCATCAAGATACTAGAATTTTCTCTCAAATGATAAAAATCTGCCTATTTGATAGATCAATGGTCCAAGTTCAACTGAACAGATGGGTAAGACTAAGTCGCACAGACATGGATACGCAATATGATACCAGGAAACAGACCAACAATACGCCAATGAATTATGCTATAACAAATACAAAAAAAGTAAAACAGAAAAGCTATCATTAAATTATAAAAAAAATTAAAATTTAAAAAAAAAACCCATTCCCCTATCTCTGCTGCATCCTGACAAAATACTATGCACATTGGTCACCTATCCTTTCCGGCAAAACTTAAAGTTGTCAACTTAACGAATACACATTTGGATATGCATGCAGCCGTAGTGGGGTGCATCCATATCCAGTAGTACATATCTTAATTTTGGAATATATTTGCATTATAGAGTATGACAGCAGACTAAGCCCTTTTGCATGTTTAACATTTTTTGCTTCCCCAAAGAACTATATGTATCATTGTATCCAGAAACTACAAAGATAATGAATATACGAATAAATACACAATTCAAGTAATATAATTGATTCAGTAATACTCGTAAAAAAAGTGAGGAAAAGCGTATCCTTACCTGGTCTTTACAAATACAATATCACACACTGGGCAATCTGTCCAAAAGAAACCCAGTATGCTCTCTGACTCTAACTTGCACATCTGACTAAAAGTTTCCCCACTTCCTCTATTGCAGAACTGTATCTCGTGATCAGATCTTTGGATTGCTATAAACTTTGCATCTAATGAATATCGAATAGATAAGATGGGGCCTTCACTAATTGAATCAGAAGTAGGAGTAACCACAGGATCAAAAGGAACAGTTTTCCAACAGAAGACCTATCTCCAAGAAAAAAAAAAGGAAAATAAACACACCACCTGAATCAAATTGGAATTAAAGACTTAAAGAATTGGAAACATTCAAATACAATATCATATTACCTGATCTGATGTTGGGGAAAGCAGCAACTTATTGCCATCATCATAAAATAAACCCTTTGAACCAGCTACGCTGCTTCTTAGGGGCAGATATGGAATATAAACATGTGACAGAGCACCAGACCCACTCAAACCAATGCTAGACTGTGAACTTGATGCTTTTCCAGACATCTTGTTTGATTGATTTTCAGACTTTTGAAGAGTTATTGCAGGGCTTAGCAAGTACTGCTACAGATAATGGGAATCCTCAACCAGGCTCTGGGCTGGAAAACAAAAACAAAAAACTGTTTAAGGTACAGAAGAAAGAGATGAACTAAATACTGTAAAGGATCATGTAAGTGGAACCGTATGAAAGTTAATCAAAATTTTCTAGAAACATGAAGCACCTTTTCCAAATGGTCCTAACTACTGTCTCCAAGCACAGAAGGTCACACTTGCTGGCTCACGGCTTTCCTCGCAGCTATTCAGAAGCAAAAAAGAAGACTCAAAAGCAATTTCTCTGGAAGATTACAGGTGCAGATCTGCCATATAATATGACATCTACTATTAATATCGAAATGATACCACATTTTGCATGCAACTCTTTAAAGCAAGAAATTCTTTCAAGCACATATCACGTTCAACTTGTGGAACCTTTGCTGCAACACAACCCCCGTATTCTTTTGCCTGCATGGAAGAGATATATTAAAAATAATGCACCATACAGGTTCCAAGGTTTTTTGTATACAAGCAGCTCCTAGAAAATATCAGTATAAAATAAGGGAATTGTTATTGGCACTCCAAATTTCTCATTCTACACTCCAAACTTTCTATATTTAGAAAGAAAAATACACTTGTGAGGAGTGTAGAATGAGATTTTTGGAGTGCCAATAACACTTCCCTAAAATAAAAACTTTGTTCTCCAAACTGTCTGCATTTAATGTTTTTTAAAGACTGAATGTACAATGTAACCAAAAAGACACAAAAGATTAATTTAAGAAGATATTTTACTTCTTCGTTTTCCACATAATCTCTCTTCTTCTACCTGAACATGATTTCAATGTTTATGACTCCCCATGACAATTTAAATTTTTCCTGCCAATATTCCACTCTCGGATAATTTCATGTATCCGGAATGAGTATAACTCTACGTAATAATATAACATCTTCATAAAAAATCATACACTATTTTTTGTGCAAAGCTTCAAACTTGACAACAACCAGAAACATCTCGTGCACCAAAAGTTTAAGGCTACACTTATCAACCTAAATTTAAAACCTTGTTTAAATTCCCTGGTACTTAAAGTCTCTGTGCAGCTTCTCCTAATCCCGTAGCACTTTAAACTAAAATTAAACATTCCAAAATCAACAAATTCGACCGCAAAACCGCCCAAAACAAGGATAGAAAACCTTCTTGGATCAAAATTTACTCATTCACGTATAATTAACATAATCAGTACTTGCAGAAAGGAAAGACATTTACATACCTGAGCTGCACAAGTCACTAGAATTCGCTTAAGGGTGGAAGTAGAGTTCCTTTCTTTCATATCCCCTTACTGTGAAAGAAATAGCAAAATAAATAGACAAAATTATTGATAAAATAGTTCTAAATTTAACAAAAATCGTGGAATTGCTAATACACGAGCTCGGCTAAAATAACGCAACAGTAAACAAATCCCTCAATCAAACCCTAACTACAATTCGTTCAAATTTCCCAATTTTTTTTTACAAAACTTTACGCAAAATTCCACAACGGCAAGCGGAAGAAGGAGAGAGAGATGAAATTACCAGATGAAATTACCATCGGAAGATTTGAGACGATCACAGTAGAGAAGGCGAAGATCTCAGAGACTCGGACTCTGTGGTAATGTTTGGGGACGGAAACTTGAAAGGACTAACCGATGAACCTAACAGTCCGTGTCAGGCGTCAACGAACTGCCACGTTAACGGTGGGCTTTGCGTCATGTAGTCTCTGGATGTAATCAGGTGGACCTTTTGATTTGAGGCTTAGAGCTTTCACCAACTGGCCCAGTAATCAACTGGACCTTCCAGCTTTTGCATATGAAGAGATTTTTTAGTGTGATCGGAACACATGGTGATACATCACGTGTCATTATACAAATGATATGATATGTGTCAAGAAGTCAATGGAGAGATTTATCAACTCTTCGTCACATTACAGTTTAACGTTAATTATCGTGCTAACATTATAAAACATTGCTAAAAACATGAAGTGTCAGAGAGTCTTATTTTTAAGATAGTCTCCTTAGCGTTTCTCAAAAAAATATAAAAAAATAAAAAATGCTTAACTACGTTATTTCACCTATGAGTGTACGTACGGTGCACCTAAACCCTAAATCTTAGATAAAATTGTAGTATTGGTCCCTTAACTTTAATCAAATTAGAGAAATTGTCTCTTAACTAAAGATTCATGACCATTGGTCTCTTAACTCATCAAAATGTGCAGTTATGATCCTTTTGTTAATTTCGTCAGAATTCTGTCATTTCCAACAGGAAATGGACTACAGCAGGGTGCGTATAATTTCCATAGCTCCACCCATCTTATATTATTTACATACTAATTTATTTTTGTATTGTTACACAATTAATGAGATATTAGGTTTGTCGTCTACGGTACCAAAAATGGTACTAATACCCCTTGATTTGAGTAATGCAATCACATTCATGCATAATGACCTACATCAATTAATTAATATTGTACTAATTTGAGTAATGCAATAACATGGTTACAATATTAACAATGTCATTATGTGTTACGACCTATAACCTTATTATTATTATAAAACAGCTTACTGTAAAATTTGATGATTACAATTACATTACTTGTAATTTGGACGTAAGTTGATCATTAATGTTATGTTGCAACGTTGTTAAACGTGAAGACAAAAAAGTCTAAAGTGAATATATGACTGGCAATTTCATGACGTTCGCTAATAATTTTACTAAAACAACATATTTCAGTACCCCTTTTTATTTTTAAAATAAATAATAGAATTTCCTTATTAATTTAGATACTAGTGGATTTTTTTTCTTTAAGTGCATTCTATATGACTCGATTCATCATACTTTTGCGCACACGAAGACTTCCCAGGCACTCATCCCATATAATCATCAATAATGGCAGCTAATTATATCTTAATTTGATGTCATCATCAAACATTGAAGGCATATTCATGTTCTTACTTAACTTAACCACTTTCTAATTATTAGAAATTATACTTTGTGTTAATATTAATTGTTTTTGTTGGAAGGAGATGGTTGACATGTCGTTTATTGACCCATAATTATTATTTTTTTTTTTTTGGGCAATTACTATTTAATAAATTTTTTTTCTACGTAGCCAGCTCATGGACATCTTCTGTTAATGACCAAAACAAAGGAACACCGTTTGTTGGTTTGCCAGACTAGTCGTTCTCAACTGCTCGCGGCAAAGATTTCGTCACCCTTTGTTTTGTGTTTGTGGTTATAATTATGAGAATTGTTATTATCATTACAAAAATCTCATTATACACTTTAAACTTTTTATATTGAAAAAGAAAAATATACATGTGAGAAGTGTTAAATGAGATTTTTAAAATGTCAATAATACTTCCCATAATTATTTATATCTTTTTTACTTTGAATGGATCGGACTATTTTAAGATTTTGTCTATAATTGCATGGAAATCATAAAACAATATTCCGAGAAAAGAGAGATTCGAATTTGGAAACTCCAACCAAACTGAGGATTTTTTTTTAGTACAACGATATATTTGTACACTAGGGAATGAGAGAGTTCGGCTAAGTCACACGTTGGAGAAATTTTTTAGTGTAACCGGCACACGAAGTGGTACACCACATGTCACTATACAAATTATAAGATATGTGTGTTAAAAAAGTTATTAACTTAAAAAATAAAATTTCTCACCACTTACATAAAAATACGTGATGTACTACCCGTGTTCCCGTCACAACTAAAAATTTATGCCCACATTGAGCAATCTAATTTAGTATCGAATTTGACATCCACGAAATTCTAACCTAAGACATCTCACTTACAAGTGAATAGAAATATCACCACACCGTGGTACTGAATAACACCAAACTTGAGTTGTAGACATGCTAGTATGCGCGAATTTAAATTTGTATCGGTATTGCTCGGATCATAATTATTGAAATTCAATGTTAAAATTAGCAAAGCACATTTATACATTTCAATGTAAAAATTGTATTAGATGAATATGTCGTCATAGTCAATGGCTAATCCGCTAGGAGGTTAACGTGGGCGAATTAACCTTGTGGCGACCAAAAATGTCTAAAGCGAGGTTCGCCAACGCCTTTGTGTGTGTTGTCGACATTTATTGAAAGACTTTCTCGACGAATGTCGATATCCGTCAACAAATTCGCTTGGAAGCTGTTCGTTTGTCAACAGCCACGCAACATGTGACTATAGGCCATCAATTGTTTAACAAAATGTCACAATGAAAAATTTACGTTTTATTTTGTACAAAAACATTTGTGCACTATGCGCGCTATTTCCTTACTGACTACTTTTCCCTAAGAATTTTTCCTATATTTGCGACCACAATAACTTGCTATTGAAACTCTCTCACAAATATGCAAATTTTGAGGTGTTGACCGTATGTTTCTAGGGCTCATAAGATATTAAAATGGTAATATGGATGCTAAATATGGTAATAGTTGTGGTTATTTCTTGAAATAAATTTTTATATTAGTGAAATTTACTAACTTGCATGAATAGGCATTATTATGGCACCTCAATCCAGAAATCAACTTGGCAAACCTAAGAATTTTATGCTACTAGATGATTTTATTTTGTTTTGTGCTTCATTTTCTTTAATTTAGATTAACCCTTCTTAATAGATTTTCTGACTCCGCCACTTAGTCTAGCACACCACCTTAAAAAAAAAAAGCAAAAAAAAAGTCATAGCTTCAACCTCATCATTTGCAATTTCTTTTGTGGTTATATAATAAAGTTATTAGTAATTTATTCCCAAAAATTAGTGTGGGTTAGGCTTGATCATATATTAACCCCGTGCAATAACTTTCATCCATCTGCCCTTTATATATGGACCAACACTTTTATGTTGAGGAGTTAAAAGTCATCAAAGTAAGTTAGGTGGTGGAGATATAGTTTTTCACGTTATGGACAAAGCGTCTAACAAAATTTCCACAAAACTTTAAATAATAGGGTGCTCCAAAGAGACTGTAAGGTAAATTTTAGAGTTTTTCTCAAACATGATGATAAACCACATCATCAGTTTCTAAGAAGAAAATTGAAGCTGCCACTCAGTACTCTAATATGATGATATTTCTTTTTACTTGTAAGTAAGAGATCTTAGGTTTAAATCTTATAGATAGCGAATTCAATATCAAATTAGGTTGTCTATTATGTGACTTAGCCAAAAAATATATCGTTGTTAGGACAAATGTTCATGCCACAGTGACTAACTAATATCAAGCAGTCGAGGTCAATCATCAATGTATGCCCAAACCAAGCACAATAAATGTTATGTGCCAAGACCAAGCACGAGAAAAAAAAACCTAAGAAGTGTTTTTCTTCTTCCTGGAAACTGATGATAATTTTGGCAAGTTGAGCTCAATTCTAACCTCTTTTTTCTCTTAAATAAAGCAAACATAATTACTAAATTCTCAAAACTTTCAAACAAGTTTGATGCTTACGATTTCAATTCCATTTTTTCTTCTTAGAAACTGATGAAAATTTAAGTTGTCACTTAGTACTATAGTCTGGTAGTATTCCTCTTTACTTGTAAGTAAGAGGTCTTAGATTCAAATCTCGTAGATGGTGAATTCGATACTAAATTAGGTAACTCATTGTGTGGCTTAACCGAACTCCCCTCCCTTAATGTAAAATATATCGTTGTGAAGACAAGAGGTTCATGCCACAGTGATCAACTGATATCAAGCAGTCGGGGTCAATCATCAATGTATGGCTAAACCAAGCACAACAGATGATGTATGCCAAGTGCGAGAAGATAAACCTAAAAGGTGTTTTTTTTTTCTTCTTAGAAATTGATGATAATTTTGACGAGTTGAGCTCAATTCTAATCACTTTTTCTCTTAAATAAAGCAAACATAAATATTAAATTCTCAAAACTTACAAACAAATTTGATGCTTATGATTTCAATTTCATTTTTTTAGTGACTCAATTACTCTCTTTTGATCACAATTTTCAAATACAAAAGAAGAACCTTCAATTTTTCTTCTATTAACTATATTATATTTTGTCTAATTTCTTCATACGGCCTCAAAACCCCGCCTAACGTCGATTTATAGCTCTGTCACCACCCCATTACCCAACAAACCCGAACCAATAAACCCTAATTATAACAATCCTCAAACCAAATATCCACTTAAGTTGGGACCGATATACCGATAACACAAGTCAAAATAAAGGAAAATTGACAGGTCTTTGGATCCGACAGGCGGCATGAATTTCTTTTTCACCTCTTCCAAATTTGCCATTTTTCTCACAAATAGAAAGATACCCAACTCCCCCATCGGGCATTGGACCCCACCCCCTCTTGCGTCCCTACCCCGTCGCACACCCACACAACTCTTGTGACCTCTTGACCCTCTGTAGTCTCTGCCCCCTCAAATAATGAAAACATTAAAAATTTAGAAAACAAATAAGGTTTAATAAATTCCAAGTGATTTTTTTTCCCAGCAGGATCCTCTCCGGATTTTATGGTCAGTTAATCATACATTGTATGGTCAGTTTTTATCAAATACCGTTTGATAAAAACACAAACAGTACTTGATACAATGTACGGACACGTTTACCAAGTACGATGAACAGACACGATTTACAAATTCCTGATCCTCACAAAGAGGATCCGACAATGATCTAGATTCTTTTTTTTCAAGTATTTAGTATGTAAATTGATGCTTTACGTATTATAATACAAGTAGGGAAGAAACACATAAAAA